GCTGTATCTCATAACGGATGGTTGTGAGCCACCATGTGGTTGCTGGGAATTGAAATCAGGACCTTTGGAAGAGCAGTCAGTGCTCTTAACATCTGAGCCGTCTCTCCAGCCCCTTACTGGTATTCTTGGTATTTTGGGTTGTGGTTTCTTCCTTTAAAAACCCCTATTGCCAGCCATTCGGGGTCGAAACTCCTCTACCCCTGAGTGGGATGTGAATCTCGGCCCCAGCGTGCTAGTTCCTGTCAATAAATCACATGTGATTGCAGCAAGGTTGGTCTCTCGTGAGTTCTTGGGGGGTCAAGTCATCCCGAGACTTGAGGATCTTCCCTCTCGGGGTTCTTACAGGTTCTAGCAGATGCACATGTCTGCTTTTCTTAAAAGACAATGAAAAAAAAAAAAAAAAGGAGAATGAAGTTAGAGTACAGTAAAGCAAGTAACTCTTAGGGTCTTTTTTTTTTTTTTTTTTTTTTTTAAATATCTACAGTAAGCCAGAAGTGGAGGTGTTTTGCAGTCCTGCAGTGGCTAAGACAGGAAGATTCTCTGAGCTAGGAGGATTCATTCAGCCAGTAATTTGAGGCCAGGTTGGCTCAAAAACAAGACGAAACAATTCTTAGAATAAAATTGGGTATGTTAGCCCTCCCTAGAAATTCATCAAATTAACTTTATTCTGCTGCCGTCCCTCCCTCCTTTTAACAGCAGAGGGGCTAAACAAATGTAATTTGACTAAAGTCCTTTCAAGAAATACTTTTTAAATTTATCTTTAAATTTTATTTTATGTGTGTTTTACCTGCTTGTACATCTCTGAACCACCTGTGTGCCTGATGCCCAGGGATGCCAGAAGAGGCTTTCAAATTTCCTGCAACTGGAAGTGTGGATGGCTGTGTGTACAGTAAGGGTGCTGGGAACCTGGGTCCTCTGGAGGGAGCTGCTGCTGTTGTTAACCACTGAGCCAACTCTCCAGATTTCAGACTAGTAATTATAAAGATGTTGCTTTTGTAGCCAAAAAGACTGCCTCTTAGTTTAGGAAAGAAAAATGCACGGCAAGTCTAAGACTGGTTATTAGGTTGACAAAAATTTCAAGCTGTCCACTGGTCATTTAGGAGAATTAGGAAGTTGCATTTAAATACAAATCATTCACTTCTTTATCTTAAAACTTCAGACAGTCCAGAAGAGGAAGGGACCTACCCAGGGACATAAAGAGTTATATGCAAAGCTGGACTGGAACCAAGGCTTTTTTTTCTTCTTGCCAGTTGAGTTCACTTTAGGACTCTATCCTGCCAACGTCTGATGCCGCTGTCATGGATGTATACACAGGTGTTGGCGTAAAGACTTCCATTTCTGGGATGATCCTTATACAATATCTGTTAGTATCTGTTGAGTTCTGTGTATACAATATTTGACCTACACTTATTGACTACTGTCATGGGTCCTATCTTGGCCAGGTGCTAAGGAATCCAAGATGTCTCTGACTGCCCACACAGTCTATTAGGGAAGCAGATGTGTTCGTTTATGCAGTCAATATTCATTTTTATTGAGGTACAATTCACAGAAAACTTACTTTAAAGTTTACAAGTGTTTTTGTATATGCAAACATTATCATGATGTAATTTCAGAACATTTTGCTCATCTCCAAAGGACCCATTAACAGCCCTCTCCATTCTCTACCTCCCCATGGCCTGGCATTCCTGTATGCATTGTTCCTACTGATTTGTTCCTTCCATAAGTGGAATCCCACACCTCTCGCATGTCCTTTTAGTCTGCCTTCTACTCAACTTAGAAATTTTAAGGTTCATTAGCATGTGGCCAATACATTGGGGGGGGGGAATTGGGGGTTTCAAGATAGGGTTTTTCTGTGTAATCCTGGCTGTCCTGGAACTTGCTTTATAGACCAGGGTGGCCTCAAACTCACAGAGATCCTCCTGCCTCCCAAGTGCTGGGATTAAAGGTGTGTGGCACCACTGCATGGCTTGTTTTGTTTTCCAGTGCTAGAGATTGAATGCAGGATCCCATGCATGCTAGGCAAGTGTTTTATTGCTAAAACATATCCCCAGTGTCTCTCCCTATACCATTTTAAAGATGAAGGACAGCTCAGGTTGCCCTTGAATATACAGAATTCCTGGCTCTTAATGTCTTTTCATTTTAGCCATCCTAGTGAGTTAAAGTACTGTCTCCTCTATCTGCATCTCTAATGAGTAGATGACAAGCGTGCTCTGCTGTGTCTGGATTTCTGCCTGGGTACCAGCAATCCAAACTCAGGTCCTCAAATTTGCAGAGCCAAGTGCTTTATTGACTGAGCCATCTCTTCCTAAATCCCTGTTTTGTGATATAAGAGGAAAGAACAAGTTTAACCAGAGCCTCTAACCTAGTCAAGGAGGAGGAAAGAGAGGAAGACAGCAGCACACTGAGTGATGGAGAAAGTGACTAGATGAGGTTGGTGGCAAATGCTATTGAGTAAGGGTTAAGGATTTTGAATATTCTCGTCAGGCAAAGGGAAGCACTGAGGATTTTTGGCAGGAAATGACGTGGTGACTTTTTTTTGTTGTTTGGTTTGGTTTGGTTTTTCCAGACAGGGTCTCTGTGTAGCCTTGACTGTCCTGGAACTTGCTCTGTAGACCAGACTGGCCTCAAACTCACAGAGATCCACCTGCCTCTGCCTCCCAAGTTGTGGGATTAAAGATGTATGCCACCACTGCCCATCAACATGATGATATTTTTTGTTTGTTTATAGCTAGGCAAGGGGTCATGTGCCTTTAATCCTAGGTGGCAGAGACAGACAGATCTCTGAGTTCAAGGCCACTCTGGTCTACAGAGCAAGTTCCAGGATGTCCAGGATTATACAGAGAAACCCTGTCCTGAAAAACCAAAAAATATCAGTCTAGGGAGCTGGGCATGGTGGCACACACCTATAATCCCAGTACTCAGAGACAGGTAGGACAGTGTCTGAATTCTAGGCCGTCCTGGTCTATGTAGCAAGTTACAAGCCAGCCAAAGCTATATAGTAAGACCCTGACTCAAAAAAACAAAACCAATAAAAAATAGTCTAGTGCTGGAGACTGACTCATGGGTTAAGAGTGCTTGCTGCTCTTTCAGAGCACCTGAATTCAGATCTTAGTTGGATGGCTCAAATTGCCTGCCACTTCAGCTTCAGGGAACCAATGCCCTCTTCTGGCCCCTTCATGCGTTTATGCACATACACACAGGCAAACAGACACATGTGGGTGGCATATACACAGAGACACACAAAATAAAATTTTATAATAAAATTAAAGACTAGTCTGAGTGTTACCTGGAGAATAGCTTGGTAGGATAAAATGTGGTTCCCTTAGGGGTCCTCTGTGGTAGTTCACCTGACAGATGATGGCAGACTGGGATTATTTGGTAGCAGGTAGAGATAGATGAATACAGAAACTATTTAGGAAGAAAATAAAGACTCCGGCACTAATTAGATGGGAGGGCTAAAAGAGGTATTAAGTCTGCATTTATAGATTGGGCAACTGGTTGATAAGGAACACTAGAGGAGATTAAATGACCATTTCCTTTTTCTTTTTTTTTTTTTTTTTTTTTTTTGGTTTTTTGAGACCGGGTTTCTCTGTGGCTTTGGAGGCTGTCCTGGAACTAGCTCTTGTAGACAAGGCTGGTCTCGAACTCACAGAGATCCGCCTGCCTCTGCCTCCTGTGTGCAGGGATTAAAGGTGTGTGCCACCAACGCCCGTCGAAATGACCATTTCCTGAGGCTGATGACCAGAAACCCAAGAAAGGCTTTTTGAAATTGTGATGACTGTGAGACAGCTAAGTGACATTGGTCAAGTGAGAAAGTGCAGTTAATAATTCGTCCCTAGGGCTAAGGAGACGTGAAATGCTGGGAAGACCTGGAGTTTCAGGGAAGCCAGAAGTTAGCATTTTGAATTTTATCAATTGAATATTGTTGAAATTAGATAAAAGCTGATGGGACAGGTGTGGTGGTACACACCTTTATTCCCAGAATTTGGTTCTTTTTTTTTTTTTTTTTTTTTTTTTTTTTTTTTTTTTTTTTGGGTTTCTTTGTGTAGCTTTGGAACCTATCCTGGCACTCGCTCTGGAGACTAGGCTGGCCTTGAACTCACAGAAATCTCCCTGCCTCTGCCTCCTGAGTGCTGGGATTAAAGGTGTGCGCCACCAACACCCAGCCTATTCCCAGAATTTGGAAGGTGGGCCGATCTCTATGAGATCAGACCAGCCTGGTCTCTATATCAAACTCCAAACCAAACCAAATCATAGTGAGACCTTGTCTCAAAAAACAAAAAAGCAAGTGCATGACAGTTGCCAAAAATTCATGTCCCTGGTCCAGAAGGTTCCTGGGAGTAAGGACTAGGGGTTGTTAGGACATGTCTTCAGAGAGCAAAAGTTTTGCCGCCAGGTGGGATAGCACACTTTCCCTCACTTGGGAGGCAGGATGGATCTCTGTGAGTTTGATGCCACCTTGTCTACAGAGTGAGTTCCTAAACAGCCAGGGCTACACTGAGAAATCTTCTCTTGGGGAAAAAAAAAAAGGAACAGAAGTTTTAATTGGTACAATATTGTGATTTATAACCGAATCTTTGGGAACTTCTTTCCTGAAGGCCGTGATGCATCCAGAGCATTTGTGACAGGAGACTATTCTGAAGCTGGCCTCGTGGATGATGTAACTGGCTTGTCCTCCTCTGAGATACTGATACTTCACAAGTGGCTTTCATTCTACCAGAAAAACTATGTATTTGTAGGTATGTAGTCCTTGACCATTGCTGTAGATTTCAGTTGGTTATCTTGCCATGTTTTTCAGGGGACCTGGATTCTTTAGGAACTGGGCTCAAGGTCAAACTTTGAAACCAGCCCCAGGTTTTTTATGTTAGGTTCTTGCTGTTAGTGAAGGAGTAATGCCCAGAAGTTGTGAGTAATCTTGGGAGGGTGTTGCCAGGCCTGTACTTTGGTGTCAGTGGCCCCCCAGTCAGTGTCATCTGTGTTAGACATGAACAGCCAGCTCCAGAGGCAGCCTCCCTGTGGCTCTGGTACAATTAGGAAGGCTTGAAGCCACACGTGTGTGGTTCTGATGCTTCGTTTCAGTTGCCCTCTGATGAAGCAGATATCCTGAGTGAACTGTTTCTGGGATGGAAGTTATGCTAATCATGCATTCATTTTTTCATTCATTCAGGGTTTCATGTAGCCTGGCTCAAACTCTCTATGTAGATCAGGCCACCCTTGAATTCCTGATCCTGCTGCCTCCATCTCATGTATTAATGCCAGTTGTGTGTTGTCCTGCACTTGTTGCTTACTGGTAATACATGAAGGAACTCAATTCTTGAGTGGGCAGGCAATTGACAGACACTCATCGCTACAGTCTTTCCTAAGCCCTGAGAGCTAGGATGGCTGGGGCCAGTCCTGTCTTCTGTGTGTAGCCCCACCGCTCATGGAGCCCCACATGTCGGGGGGAGGGATGTCAGCAGGTGGTTAATCAGGAAGCTGAGAGATGACATCTTTAAATATGGGGTCGGGGGGAGGTATGTCAGCAGGTGGTTAATCAGGAAGCTGAGAGATGACATCTTTAAATATAATCACAAAGCAGAGAGAGGGTGAACTGGAAGGGCAGCCAGGCTATTAATACTCAAATCTCTCTGCCCTCAGTGACGGACTTCTTCAGCAACTCTGCACCACCTCCCCAAATAGCACCACCAACTAAGAACCAAGTGTTCAAATGCCTGAGCCTATAGAGGACATTTCTGATTTAAAACCACCACAGGAACGTTGGTAAGGGAGTGGGACTCAAGAGTATGAATGAAGTCCAGGGCTTTCCATTGGAACCTGAGTCCAGCTCAATTCTCAGAGACTGACTATAGAGGTTGGACCCACACAGCTGGGACAGGGAACCACACTACCTCCTACTTGCTCAGACCTCCCTGAAGTGTTTTCTGGGACTTCCTCCATCCAATACAGTAGTCCCTTTTAAGACATTTTGCACCTCAGGACTTGGACACAGCAAGCTGTGGTGCTCAAGGAGAATGGAACCTTTTTCCCGCTGCCTGTGAACTGCAACCACTTGGTAGCTGCTTTCATATCTTAAATATTAAAACAATTTTGAAAGCCATTTTAAAAACTAATGTCCACATACTTACCTGGCAGAGGAAATACCATAGTCACAAAGGTAGTTTTCCCAGGGCGAGGCTTATCCATTGCACTCCAGATGTGCTGACCCCTGCTGTTTCCCCAAATGCAGGAAATTCGACTGCGAAATTTGTGGTAGTGGGAGACTGCATTCATGCTCTTCCCTGGGGAAAAGAATTAATGTCTACTAAATACTGAGTCAGAAGAAAGTGGTGGAGGAGAAAACATGGGTTCTGAGCTAGTCTCACTAAATAGTTCTGTAAGACAAAGTAATTTGACATGGACCCAGAAAAATGTGGGCTAATAAACTGTATATTCACCCAGCATTTACTAAATATTTAGTGTCACCCAAGCACTACAGAGTATTGATAAATGTGTCACACAATTCTCAGGGAACTGGTGTGGTGTGATAAAAATTTGATCATTTCCATATTGACAGCTAGCTGACTCTTTAGCCCCAGCTAAGCAGAACCACAGATTCTAGATGCAAAATAGCAACGGCCCTGAGAGAGTCTTTAGGTGACTCTCAAACATCCGTCTGGAACTTCACAAGCCAGGCCTCCATCATCTGCATTTCTCTCAGCACTCTTATCTTCCAAGTTCCTACGGAACAGCTCATCAAGCTTTGAGCACTCAATGGCTTTTCTAGTGCAAAGTTCCAGAGCCCTTCTACAGCCCTCCCCAAAACAGTTGGTCAGGTCTGTCACAGCAGTGCCCTCTGATTTTGGTATCAGTTTCTGTTTTAGGTTTTCTATTGATGTGATGAAACACCATGTCCACAAGGAACTTGGAGAGAAAATGATTTATTTGGCTTACCCTTTCTGCTACTCTGACCAACCTTTTTCCTTGTTGTCTCAGGGAGATTGGTTGGAAGGTTCTACGGAGAGGATGGACTGCCCACTTCAGAACTAACCCAGGTAGAGGCCATAGTGACTAAAGGCATGGAGGCAAATGAACAGCAACAGAGAGACAAACAGAAGTTCCCTCCATGTAATGCTGAGTGGAGCTCTGCCAAAGGCAGCCGGCTCTGGTGCTCCCAAAAGAGGTAAGCAGGCTTCTGTACTGCTCTGCCACCTCTCCTGAATCCATCTTCTAAGCCAGCCTTTATTATTTGTTTGTTTGTTTGTTTATTATTTAGGGACTCCACAACTGACTTGCTAAGTGAGGGAGCCTACATGTACTATGCATACTAGGTCTTCTGAGTTATTTTTATGTACTTACTGTGATAAAACACCTGAAAGAAGCAATTTAAGGGGGAAAAGATCTCACCACTTGTATGGTTGTAGTGAGTACAGTCCACTGTGGCAGGGAAGGCATGGTAGAGCAGCTTGGTCTATGGCTATGGAGGTATGTAGCTCCAGTTCTCATATCATTACAGATGGGGAAGTGAGGCTGTTCCAGAACAAGAAACAGACGTAACCTTCAAGGCCTGCACAAGTGACTCATGGCATGAAAACTGGCTGGTCCGGGAGACCTCTCAGTCACTAGCATCAGCTCAGGGAAATGACACTGCTGCAGCTTAAGAAAGAAAAGGGGGCTGGGTGTTGGTGGTGTACACCTTTAATCCCAGCACTCGGGAGGCAGAGGGAGGCGGATCTCTGTGAGTTCGAGGCCAGGATAGCCTCCAAAGCTACACAGAGAAATCCTGTCTCAAAAAAAAAAAAAGGAAAGAAAGAAAGAAAGAAAGGAAGGAAGGAAGGAAGGAAGGAAGGAAGGAAGGAAGAAAAGGGGTTGGGGCAAGGGCACAGTGAAGGGACATGGACCCTTACTTCCTTCTAGAGACGGTAGTATTAGGATTGTGTGTGGAAAGCCAGAGAAGTAGGAGAGTTTATGGCCCAGGCTGAGACGGGAAATGGGATGAAGGACTTCTCCTCTTCATAATACCCTGCAAGTGTTTCTTCCTCTTGTCCCAGGGGCTTTTAAAATGAGGTTTTTAAGAAGTCCTCTTTCCCTTTTTTCTAGTGGAGGTGTGAACAGAGACTGGATTGGTGTCCCCAGGAAGCTATATAAGCCAGGGGCCAAGGAGCCCCACTGTGTGTGTGTGAGAACAACTGGCCCCCCTAGTGACCAGCAAAACAACCCTAGACACTCAAATCGTGGGGACTTGGACAACCCCAACTTGGAAGAATATACAGGCTGCTCACCTTTTGCCACTGAGTGTTCCTTCCCAGTCTAAGATGGTGTCCTGTATGTTGATGACACATGGAGAACCTTCCCTAGATCTCCAGGAAGCCCTTCATATTTGTGCTCTAGGAGGCTCCTGGCATGAAAACAGGAGGGTCAAGGACTCCAGCCTCACTCTGCAAATGTGTGTCACAATTCTGTTGGTTGAGAGAAGAACCTAATAGCCTACCTGGTGTGGTCAGATTGTTTTGACACTATTTGGAAGCTTGGTCCTGTCATCTTCCTTGAGAGCCTGCGGACATTAATGAACATAGCGTGATCAATGTAGGACTGCCTGGATTCATGCTGCCCTCATCAGAGCTTGGACTCTGCCCATCATGCCAGTCTGGCTGGTACTTGGAGCAGTAGCAGAACAAGATAGTGGCTCTCAGCAGAGATGCAGGCATCTCCCAAGAAGCTGTGCCTCTTGCAGAATCAAGGTAACTGTTCTAAATCACAAGGTAACTGACTAAGCTCACAATCTCTGACTTTTGTGACATTTCTAAAACCTCCAAGACAAACTTGAGTTTAGTGACTCCATCAGAGCTAGGCTGGTACAGTAAGATGTGATAATAAACTGGGATGGGTTGATCCTGGGATAGGAAAGCTTTTACTTACACAGATGGAGCACACCCAGATGTGTATTGAACCACTCACTTTCCTCATATCATTAATGAAAAGGTGTCCCTCCATTCCTGAGTTTCTACACCTACCACATGTTTTGAAAGGGGCTTCTGCTCCAGGTTTCTCAACCCCATTCAATGCTGAATTCCCCTGCCTTCTCTGCAGGGGTCAATTCTTACCTATCTTTGTTGTTGTTGCTCATTTTCGTATTTGAGAGAGGGTCTCCTATAGCTCTGGCTGTCCTAGAAGTTACTAGGTAGACCAGGCTGGCACGGAACTCACAAGGATCCATCTGCCTCTGCCTCCCAACTGTTGGGATTATAGGCTTGTCCCACCGTGCCTAGTTTATTCCTACCTATTTTGATCTCTGCTACTTTTTAAAACATTACTTGGCTTTTTGAGGCAGGATCTTATGTATCCAGGCTGGCCTTGAGCTCAGTGTGTAGGCATGTGCTACCGTGCCCAGTTTATGCAATACTAGCTAGGGACTGACCCAGAGGTGTATGCATGCTAGGCAAGCACTTTACCGACTGAGCTACATCTCTAGACCCTTGATCTTCATTGCTCTTGACTCTGTTGGTCCTGCAAGGTCCCCATAAAGTCCTCACTTGCTGTACTGGTCCCACTGGCAGCCCTTCCTCCTGTCTCTGTGGTTCACTCTAGGAACCTTCTCCTTGGCTTTTCTTTCTCCCACTTCAGGCAGTACACTACTAGGCAGTATCTCTGATCCAAAGGGCTTGATAATGAAGTCTGTGAGCTCTTTCTGGAGGCACTGCAAACCCCACATTGCTTTTTTTTTCTTTTTGCATACATGATGTATGTGTGCATATATCAGTGAAATGTGACATTTGCTGTCTTCCTGTATTTCTTTCCACCTTATGAGAGACAAGTGACTCTTAATTGACAAGACTAGCTGGCCAGCAAGCTCCAGGAATCCTGTCTCTTCCTCCTCAGTGCTAGGCTACAAGTGTGTGTCACCATGCCTGGATTTTTACAAGTATCCAAACTCCAGTCCTTACGCTTGTATGGTAGGTACTTCACTAACTGAGCCATCTCCCCAGCCCTACAATGCTAATGCCTTCATCCTCCTTGTCACCAGATGTCATAGTATCAGCTGTCAACTTGACACATAGTCACCTGGGAAAAGAATTGCCAGAATTGTCCAGATCCTATTGCTGAAGTTAAACACATGAAGAATCACCATGCTAGATTCATTTATATCCCTCTGTGTGTGTGCATGGGGACTAGGTATTTTCTTTAATTGCTAATTGAGGTCATGTGCACAGGGCAGGGAGCACCAGGTGCCTATTGTGGGCTGTGTCACCCCTGAGTAGGTGGGCCTGGTTGTACAAGAAAGGTAGCTGAATCCAAGCATGGATTCACTAAAGGTACACACCTTTAATTCCAGGGGAGACAGGTGGCCTCTGACTTTGAGGCCAGTCTGTTCTACAGTTTGTTCCAGGACAGCAAAGGCTACATAGCAAGACCCTGTCAAGACAGAGGGAGGGAGGGAAGAAAGAAAGGAAGGAAGGAAGGAAGGAAGGAAGGAAGGAAGGAAGGAAGGAAGGACCGATCAAGTGAGCAAGCCAGCTGGCAGCATTGCTCCATAATTTCTCCTTCATTGGCTTCTGTTGATTTCCCTCAGTGGTGAACTGTTACCTAGAAGTATAGGATAAAATAAATCCTTTCCTCCCCAAGTTGGTTTTGGTCAGAACACCATATGACCAATCCCACCATCCCAACTATCCCAACCATCCCAACCATCCCAACCATCCCAACCATCCCAACCCTGCTCCAGGGAAAAGCCTATATCCTCCTGGCCAGCCTGTATCCTTAGGTCCTACCTACTAACTTCCTCTTTACTCCTCCTCCCTCTGGTCGCCTTGTTCCACCCCCTTCACTACTGTGGTAGGTCATCTTTCTTCATGATGATCAGGGTAGTCTCTACTTAAACCTCCCAGGGTGTCTTAGTTAGAGTTTCTGTTGCTGTGATGAAACACCATAACAAAAAGGCAAGTTGGGGAGGAAAGGGTTTGTTTATTCAGCATTGCTGTTTATCACTGAAGGATGTCAGGACAGGAACTCAAAACAGGGAAGGATCCCCGAGACAGGAGCTGATGCAGAGGCCATAGAGAGAAGCTGCTTATGGGCTTGCTTCCCCTGGTTTGCTCAGACTACCTTCTTTTAGAACTCTGGACCAATAGCCTTACACCACACATCATGGGCTGGAACCTCTCCCATTGATCACTAAATGAGAAAGTGCCTTACAGCTGGATTTCATTGAGGCATTTCCTCAACTAAGGCTCCTTCTTCTGATGATTCTAACTTGTGTCAGGTTGACACATAAAACCACCTAGTACACAGGGGCTCCCCATATCTTTGAGGATCACACGGAGCACTGTGGCAGAGGGGTCCCTTGCATTGACTATCTGGCTTTATTCTATTCCTTCCCTGTGTGCCCTGCTCTATGTAATCCCTATACACAAACCCTTGCTTCTGGTGACTCTTTCTCCCTCACTCCCATTAGTCTAGAACCTTCTCCTTGGCTTTTCTTTCTCCCACTTCAGGCAGTACACTACTAGGCAGTATATCTGATCCAAAGGGCTTGATAATGAAGTCTGTGAGCTCTTTCTGGAGGCACTGCAAACCCCACACAGAACCTACCTGGGTACCTTCATTAGCCATAGGCCCAGAGTAGATTTTAACTCTTAGCTTTCCACCAGCATTTAGTTGCTCACCTTTTGTGGACACGGTGGTACAACCCTTCAATCCTACCACTTGGGAGGCAGAGTCAGGCAGATTTTTGAGTTTGAGGATAGCTTGGTCTACATACCAAGTTCCAGGCCATCCAGCGCTATAGTGAGACCCCGCACCAAAAAAGGATCTACCCTTGTGGGCTTGAAACCTGATCCTGTCAGCCTCAAACTAAACACACAAGACTGATTCATACATTCATGGAACATGAACACTGTTTGCACTCCCAGGGCAGGAACTGATGGTGAACTGATCAAGGACCTTGTTCTGAATTTTAGTGAACCTAGTTCCTGAGTGCTGGGAGTAAAGGGGATGGGACCATCCAAGTTCTAAGAAGCCCCTAGAGAATAAGCTAGATCACCATAGCTAGTCTGAGTTGGGGGCAAGCAAAATGAAGAGGACCAGAGAAAAGAACACATTAATCCAAGTAAGTATCCTGAAGACCTGCTTACTAGAGTATTTTTTCTTTTTTTGTACTAGATTGGAAGTTTTATGGACCAGCTATAATCTGCAGGCCCCTAGACCTTCCTTAACATTCTCTGAAGCCCACAGTGCCAGCCCCAACCCACTTTTTCTTCATCTTGGCCAGTGGGTAAATCCTTGTAGTTGCTCTGAATAATGGAATAAAGGAGGAGTCCAGAATTCTTTGGACAGCTTCCATGGGGCCAGACAGCTGAAACTCCATCAGCACTCACATGCACCTCTGGAGCTTCCACTTTGGGAGGCAGGAGTGCAGCAGCTGCTTACACTGTACAAAACACTTACTTTGTGACATCTGTCAACATGTGATGTGTCACATGAAATGTAGCACTGAAATGTAAAGGGTAGCTTTCAAGACATTTATTAATTAGTTCACATATCAATTTTTAAAAACTTTATTCTTTGTGTATGAGTATTTTGCCTGCATGTACATCTGTGTATCGAATGAATTCCTGGTGCCTGAAGAGGTTGTGAACTTCCATGTGGTGCTGGGAATGGAACCTGGGTCCTCTGAGCCAACTCTCCAGCCTTCATATTTAGTTTTTTGAGACAGGGTTTCTCTATGTAGTCTTGGCTGTCCTGGAACTTGTTCTGTAGACCAGGTCTCAAACTCAGAGATCCCCCTGCCTCTGTGATAAAAGGTGTGTTCCACCACCACCATGTGGCTCAATTTATTAAAATTGTTTTTTTTTTTAAATGTTCATTGGTACTTGTGGGTTAGAAGTAGCCATAAATGTCTTTAATTAAAGCTTCCACTTGAAATTCACAATTTTACCTTATTTTTATTATAAGGAATTATTACAGAAAATGAAAATACCAATATTTGAAAAATACATTCCATTACAGACTCCAAAGAAATAATGCTGCTAAGCGCCATGGTCCCAGATGCTGCTGTCATTCCCACACTGAGCACCACCAGTGGTTTGGAAGCCAAAGTGATCTATCCAAACATGTGCCTTCAGTTTTAAAGGCCCAGCTGCTGCCTTGTCCTAGAAACCACAAAGATGCCACATGGCTGCCCAACAGGCAAGACAGTAAGTCCAGTAGTCCCCAGACTCCCTTGCTATAGAAAACCAATGTTGTCAGTTTTAACAGTTAATATATTATTTATGCCACACCAAAGAGGACTGTATAGGCAGTGGTCCTCCAGAGAAAGTCTTTAAGGCATCCATGACATCTGGGATTTAATATATTTAGTGAACCAGTCACATTCAGTTTTTCACTAGGTCAATTCTGTAAAGTGAACATGGCTCAGAGGCCTGTGCTGTGCTGCTTCCTCTGAAGGGCTGGCAGGGGAGCTCTGGAGCTTCAGGTGGTCTAGGGGGCTGGTCCTGAAGGAAGCCAGTGTCTGTGAGGGAGGCATACTTTTTACTTATACAGTGATGTTGCTGCTTCTCAAGCTTAAGTATGTAGCAGTTCAGCCACATTCTTTTTGCCAGGTAAGGAAATCCTAGATGGAGGCTTTGCCCCCCACCCCTTGTCTACAAATAAGACTAGTGCTGGAACAGTTCAATATGGGGGTCAGGCACAAACTGGGAAGGGCAGTGAGACCACACACACCCAGTTCTCTGAAAGCCCACTTCAAGGAAAGGGAGGAAGTTGACAGGTAGTCAGAAACAACTCAGGGCTCTGAGGTAGAGAATAAAAACATCACGTGGACCCCACAGCTTGGAGAGAATATGGCAGGCAAACTGAGCAGTGAATATTCAGACTTGACTGAATTGGTTATTGGGGTGGAATAGGCCCAAAACTTGTGTTCTAACACTCACCGAGTGAGATACCAGTAAAAAGACAACTGGAAACAAAGGAGTCCTCAGTGTAGGCACTTAAGCTTGTTGGGACATCACTGTTAGAGGATCATAGCAAATTAGTTTAAGCACATGGTTTGTACCTGTCTTTAAAACAACAACAACAACAAAAAACCTCTTAATGATACACTGTACAGTAAGACTAGTGATGAACAAGAGGCAGTTAAAAAGCTAGGTAAGCACAGTAGTGCTAACTGATGCAGCAATTATGTTTCAGTGAAGTTTATTCTTCCTGCTCTGCTCATTTGCAACTGGCAACTTTTTGAATGAATAAAATGTTTTGCTGCTAGTTCTCAAGGTACTGATTAAGACTGAATAAGAACAGCTAAGCAGTTTCATGGTGAAGTCTGGTCAGCATGGAGAGAGCACAGGAGAGATACACAGTAAGTCTGGTTCTGGCCAGGGCAGTGCAGAGCAGAAGTGCAGCACAGGGAACATGGCATGGTTGGGATGTGGAAGGATGCCTAAGCCATGCCTGCAGCATGGGTACCGATGCCCAAGGCACACAGCCCTGCTCAGCCACAGCCGGTCACTATGCTGACCTCTGAAGGAATAGAAGCTTGAACCCACATACTTTTAGGCATGATCTTCAGATTGTAAGTACAATTACAGGCAAGATTGTTACTGAAACTGGTATAGGGCAAGGACAAAATGATCAGCTTCATCCTGATTCCCTATTTTCCCCTCTTCACTGTGAACAAGAAAAACAAGTATATGTGTACCGACCACCTTGGTTTATAGCAGAACCATAATTACCTTCCTCATTAAAGAATCACGGTACCAACTAAATTCTAGGTCTCCGTGCCCCTTTTTAGGCAATGAAAATTAGAAATTGACACATGCTTCATGTAGTTGTTGGCTAAGACTGGCTAAATGTTCCCATGAAATAAGTCACAGGCTGGGGACATCGGCACTCCTCTAAGTAACTCTTCCTTTCAAACTCTGCATACAAGCTAATATTAACATATAAATCGCACACGTATTCTTAGAAAGTAGCACACTGGTTTATCAGCACATTTTATACATATTTAGGTAGTAAAAAGTCTAACTCTACACAACAGAGGACATACCACTATCCAAGAAAGGTGATGCCAAAAGAAGTCCCTTTTATTCATACATCTGTACTCCATTAATGCAAATCATGTAGGCTACCAAATGTCTCAAAAAATCAGTGTGTGTGTGATTGACCTTGTTAATCTCTTGAGTGTAACTAGTGTTCATTTCATAGTAGCTTTGTTTTTGTTTCTTAAAAAAAAAAAAAAAGTGGTAGAAGTTTCTCTTTCAGTGTGCAATAAAATAAAATTTAAAAAATTGAAATTCCGAACCAGAAACAATCCAAAACACGGGCCCAACTTTAAAAAGAAAGAGGCCCAGCATCCCAGGGTTAATACAGGCAGCAGCAGGAACCCAAGCCCCGTGCTTCAGAGCCTTGCTCCAAGTTTCAGCCAGACTTCCAAAACAGGCTGCTTATAGTTTGGCCAGGGCCTTTGGCTGCTGGCTCTGATGGGGCAGGGCACCAACAGCACTCAGCATGCAAGGCAAGGTCTTAGCAGGAAGGATATGTCAGGGAGTATGGATTTCTTCCTTCTTGGCAGTTTTCCCTTTAAGATTAGTGTGTGCTGAGGTTCAGTCCAAGCTGGCCATCAGAATCACTGATAGAAGGGTATGTGAAGGTATTTTTGAATTGGATTCACCAATGATGCAGCTTTAGAAAAAGTGCAGCACAGTCAAAGTGCATTTCTTCTGTCACTCCAGTGGCAGCAATTGAGGACTCCACAGACAGGACGCAGCAAGACGAGAGAATGAGACAGCTGCTAGGTGTCAAACTGCCACTGCACTGACACCATAGCAGTATCAACATTGGTAAAGCTTTCGGTTGTTAAGGCCACAATTTTTCAGCTCTCATCTTTGAACCCTGTTTAGAAAGATTTCACCTTTTTAAAAGGAGTAGCTCACTAAAAAATACAGCTTAGCTTTAAAAAGAAAGAAAAGACTTGAGGGCAAGAGGTTCCTATTATCTTTATGAAAACACTGTGCATTAAAGGCCATAGCCACTTAGAGTAGCCACCACCCTAGAGTAATCAGCTCTCATCTAGCAGCTGTGGCTCTACTCTGTCAGGCTCTGCCTCTAAGTCAGCCCAGGCAGGAAGACTTTGTGAATTCTCTGAGATGGATGCTATACTACCAAAAGGGAAAATTGTCTCCAAATGTCCTTGTGTGCTGCTAGCTGATTCCTATCACATTTGTCACACATTGTCTACACTGGCCTGGTCCAACCAGTGAGACATCTAGTGCACTAGACCACAGTCTGACACAGTCATACAGAATCATCTGAAATGGCATCACACCATGGCCTGTAATTGTTCCAGTCTTCTGCCGCAGGAAGACAACTGCCAGCTCTTGCTCTGGGTAGGAGGCAGGCTGGTGAGTAGAGCAGCTGCTGGGGAGGTGCCAGGGGATGCAGGCCTGGACCCTCCTAGGGGCTCACTAAGAGACTCCACCCAGAGTCAGTACATCAAAGCAAATGTTGCAAACCCACACATTCTTGTTCAGGTCAAACTTTATAATAGGAATCTCCTTGGTTGAACATTTATGGCAAAGAAGACGGCCGCAATGACGACTGTGGAGGCAAAGAAAGAAATATGAGAAACAGGGAAGAGCAGACTGTTCCCAAACGGCCAGCCAAATCACACCAATTCACATACAGTATTTAGCTCTTAACAAAATACTAACTGTGGTAGCTAAGCTAAAGCAAACATGAAGATGAGCACAGCTGCTCACAGATGAGATGGCTGTCTAGTCCCTAGCACCCTGTGAGACAGTGATGGAACCTTCGAACCCAGGAAAGCCGCAAGTCTGAGTGCTTTCCTATTCTCCCTTCACAGTGGATCCTGCTCAGTTCTATCATTCCTCCTCTTTCTGTTTGGTAAACTTTTGCCTGGAAGAGGCTTAGGCCTATAGAGCTCGTGGCTCATTATGGAC